AAAGAAAGAAAGAAAGAAAGAAAGAAAGAAAGAAAGAAAGAAAGAAAACTATTACAATTAGAACATGGAAAGTTAGCAGAACACAACCCTATTTTTTACTGTTTATCATTCTTGGCTTTACACACAATGACTCAATGACAGACTAAAGCCAAGGAGATGGAAAATTGTAGGCAGTTAACTGTCATGGATGGTAAGCAAATAAACAATCCCAGTTATGAATAGCTTTATCCCACAACCTCCCTGTCCATGAAAAGAAATGATAGGCACAAAGATGCTCAAGAAAAGTCATGCAAAGCAGGAGAAATTTTATTGTTTTGAAGAAAGGCACTTTCTACTTGGCAAGCATTTTCCCCATAGGTTTTGCACTGTCCTGTGCTTCTACAATATAGATTGCTACCTTTATTATTCAAACAATGCTATCATTATTGCAAACTGACATACTCTGCCCAGGTATTGGGAGGCTGTGGCCCTCCAGATGTTTCTGTAACTACAATACTACCATTCCTCACCACAGCTAGGAAGCTACAGGTTCTCCACTCCTATGCTTTATGCCTCACCCAGGTTATGGAACCTAAAAAGATGTTTATTTTTAAGTTAAAGTTAAAATATTTATAAGTTATAGCAAGTTAAAATATTTCCTTCATCTATGCTTTCTCTCTTTTTATTGACATAAAAATGGCATTAGCACTTAGACTTTTACACAGTGGTTACATGAATCAATCCTGAGCCAGTGAGGATTGAACTTCTGGAAGTGGGCAGAGTTTGCCTGCAATACTGCTTTCTAACTACTGTACCACCACAGCTCAATAATAATACAATTGAGATCTTAATATTATGGTAAGTAATTCATTTTAGGCCAAAACTATTGTCATATAACTATGTACTTCAATATGACATGCAGTGGTCCTTTTTTAATGTTATGCTCAATTTTGGATGACAAGTTATATAATTTTAGGCTTGCATCCTAAAATGCTATTATTGTTGATAGAATGGTTACTTTTTTCTTCTTCTTATCAGTACTTTCAGCTTTATGAATAATAGTATAATGTACAACGTGTGTGTGTGTGTGTGTGTGTATTACAAACTATTCTAAAAATACGAATTCCAGATATACTTGTAAAAGAAGAAACAGACATCCTGCGATCTCCAGAACTTAAAATTACATTTATTGTACTTACTAAGCTTAATACTCTGATGTCAACAGAGGCTGACGAAAGCTTAGTACAATAAATGTAATTTTAAGTTCTGGAGATCGCAGGATGTCTGTTTCTTCTTTTACATACATACATACATACATACATACATACATACGTAATAAAAATTACTGCATTGAAATATGCATTGAAACAATACAATGTATCAAGATTCATAACATTTCAATAGGAAAAAAAAAGAATGGGGTATGACAGAAAAGCCTGCAGAAATTAATATATTTGTTATATTCATCATTCTCGTTCCAATCTTTTTCATCTATCACTCATTTCTTCATAGCAAACACTCCATCCACAGTTTCTCTTATTAAACTCTGCCAGTAACTATCATAACTTCAACCAGACTCTCAATAGCAGCTATTACCAAAGATGGTAACAAGGTTGAAGTATAAGCCAGATGTTTCTAGATCAGGGATGTCAAACTGGTGGCCTGTGGGCCAGATGCATCACATGCAGGCCACGCCCATCCCAGCTCCGCAAAGGGGGGAAAAAACATTGCGAAACATCACATGACGGCAATGTGACACTGTGAGTTTGACATCCGTGTTCTAGACCTTCAGACAACCCTCAGTGACCCATCTTCGGTCCTTAGCTTCTGATTCATCTACAGGTGGTCCTCAACTTACAACAGTTCATTTAGTGACCGTTAAAAATTACAATGACACTAAAATAGTGACTTGTCCTTCACAAATTCCTTCTCAAGAATATTTGAAGAAAATAAAAGATTTCAATTTTAAAAAAAATCCTAAAACACGAAGCTCATTGAGAAAATGTGGTGTGCACCACATTTATATACACACTGACTGACAGTTCTAAAATTGTACTCCCAGACATCTGGATAACATACGGAAAACTGTTATATATTTAGACCAAAGCGAATCTTCCTTCGGAGTAAATATTTATAGAGGCAATTCTAGTTCGTGTCTATAACAAATAAAAGCTCCATCCAGTTTGATGATAGCATTTGCTCCCTGCTAAGGGTGAACCAAAACCCCAACAAAAAATATCATGAACTGACACAAACAGGCCATCAATGGAGTGGAGTAACTCGCTTCAGGCAACATCAGATGCTGTAGAGAAAAGGAGGCAGGAATTCCTTTCAAAATATTTGCCGGAGTGGAAGGAAAAACATTGGGACTCTGCTTCAGCAGGAGGAAGAAATGGTAATATCCCTTTTTTCCAGCCTCTATATTCCAAACATCTGGAAAGTACAGTACATCCATCTCCGACACGAAAGAATAAAAAGCCGCCTGTAAAAGAAAGACTGCACTCCAATTTCATAATCTCAACCAAAATTAGCCTTTTGAAGCCAATCTCTTACTGTAAATAAATTTGGGGAATTGAGTTGACATTTGTAGTGGTCCTTTGCAGGTCCCCTTAAGGTGAACTAAGAAATGCTTTCATTCTTAGCCTCTGCAGAATCAACATCTGTCAGCCATCCTGGGTACTTCCCTCACCAGGATTCACCGTGAAGCATCTTAACACCACTGAACTAAATCAGAATTTTCTGCTGGTAGAGGAAGAATAAAGGGTCTCTAGGACTGGTTATGTACAACATGCTAGATTAAGCTAAAATGGACTTTGGTGTTTTGGAATTCAACAGGTTGTGTGATAATCCAACCACTAGGAAATTGTCTGAACCAGACTGATGTTGTCATGCTAAATGATAACATGGTTTCTTTCTTTGGGTCTTGTATGACCTTAATACAGGAATTGTGTTTTGATCATCCAGGTATAGCATTGAAACATGTAATGTGAACTCATCCTAGTAAGAGCAGTTTACAGTATGTAAAATTAAGCATTAGAAGAACAGAGCAAACTGAAGTAGCTGGATGATTACTATTAATTCTTTCATATTACCCTTGGACCTTGGCTTCCATCTCGTCCTGGTGACCCCGTTGGTCCTGGAATACCCTGAGGAACACCCCAAAAAAAGAGTCAAATTATACACTTAAATACACATTTCTGCTAATAATAGCAATAATCGTGTAAATTTACTTATCCATATTTCTAAAAAGAATATATAAATCTAAATATAGACTGATTGATGGCATTGCTCTGTCCACCTATCACTTTTATTGAGCCATGAAGCTTCAGATAAATGTTCTGAGGGAGAGTCAAACCAATTACCTTGGAATCAAATGTCTGAACTGAAGGTTTCATGATGTCCCTGCAGCTTGCAGGGACATCACAGGTGTAAATGGGCCAGGCATTGTCAGCCTTCTCACTAGAGAATTGTGCAGGTAGCATTGCATGCAATTGCTTTCATCAGACAAAATATGGTGAGCCTTTGTTATGCACCCCCAGCAGGACAGAACTAGCTTAGCCCTGGAACTTTGGAACATATTCTCCATACTTTTACAACTGTCAAGGTTCAACCCTTGCCTGACACCTGCTAGGATGCCAATTCAGATACACCTTCCACCTCCAGTTCCCAAGCTCCCTTCTTGCAAATCTGGAGGATAGCAAGGTGACCTGGAGGATAAAGAAGATGTTGACATTAGAGGACCAATTCTTTAGCCTACTTGAGTCTGACAGGATTTGCTTTCTAATTATTTGAGAGAGACTGGCCAAGCCAGGGGCAGGAGTCAAACAGGGAATTAGTCTGGAATCCTACATGGGCACAAAAGACGTCTCTCACATACACACCACTTGTATGCCATTGAACTTTATCTAGGTTTACTCAGGTACAAGCCCTCAATCTGAGAAGATTCCTGTGTGTAGACTTGAGCAATAAAACTACTAATTGAATTCTACACATCTGGATCTGGTTGTTCATGACTGACATCAGCGTAAGACATAATGCTCTCAAGTACCTTGACCCAAATGGTGCTACACTTCCTGCACATTGGATGTAGAGAGCACTAGAGTGTAGTACTTATAGTAAGAGTTCTACACATTAACAAAAGCACACTCAAAGTTCTCCAAGAAACATGCACAGGAGGGTGAGAAAACCCAAACTCTCCTGTTGTTCGTCATTTGAAATTTAATTATTCAGCCCTAAGAATAATGCCATCAAGATTAAGAATTTAGAGTCCAATCCTCTCTGATGTTCTCCAATTTCTAATTGATAACCACCGATACCTCTGACGGGAACAAAATTCACAGAAAAACTTATTCTTAATTCCTCTGTTGGTGAATGATTACAGTAATAATAGTAATAGTGTTCAGTCACTCATACATAGTCATGTCTCATCTGCATTACTGCAATGTGCTCTACATGGAGGTACCTTTGAAGAGTCCCAAAGGTGTTTTTTCAGGAAGCAACTGGACTTCCTTGTTTTTTCTTTGAAGACATTTCACTTCTCATCCAAGAAGCATCTTCCGCTCTGACAGGACAGTGGGGAATGGAAGGGTTGTCAGAGCGGAAGAAGCTTCTTGGATGAGAAGTGAAACGTCTTCAAAGAAAAAACAAGGAAGTCCAGTTGCCTCCTGAAAAAGCACCTTTGGGGCAATCATGACCTGGATGATGGAGAACCTCTAAAGACCTTTACTTTTGAAGAACATTCGGAAACTACAATGGGTTCAGAATGCCCTGATGCAGACAGTTCTAGATACATAGCGCATATAACACCACTGTTACACAAGCTGCACTGATTCCCAATCTGCTTCTGGATCCAATGTAAGGTGTTGGCTATTACCTATACACCCCTTTATGGCATAGATCTGAATATCTGAAGAACCATCCTGCCCCAATGGGATTGGTTCATCCCACACGTTCTAGTGGAAGAGTCCTACTGTAGACCCCATCAGCCAAGGAATTTTGGCTGGTGAGGTCTATGAAAAGAGCCATTTCTGCTGTGACCCTCCATCCTTTGGAACATTGTGCCCACAGAGGTGAGGTCCGTCCCCACTTCTCCTGGTCTTCTGAAAGGGACTTAGGACCTGGTTCTGCCAGTTGGCATGGGTTCAGATGGAGATGCTTTAGGCTGGAGATCGCTGGTGCAATGACAGAACAAGACACTATCTCTGCTCTGTGATTTTTGGTCAATTTAATTCTTGCAATTGCAACTGTTCCTATATTTATAACTTTGATATTTCAATTTTTATTGCTTTGTAAACCACCCAGAGTCACTCCAGATAGTGAGATGGGCAGTATGTAAATTTAATAAATAAATAATAATACAGCCCTGAAATTTCTAATGACTGAGTAATTGCAGTAACTTCATTCTAGACCAGAAATGATTACCTGAAGACCCGGACGCCCAATTTCTCCCCTTTCTCCTTTTTCCCCGGTTGGTCCCTGAAAATGAATAAAAGCTCTTTATTATTTATTTCACTGCCCTCCTTTTTTCTCATCCAAACAAAATGATTAATTTTCTATTTCTTTCTGGAGAAGGAGAAAAAAAGGAATCCTAACATTGTTTTTATGAGACTATGTTAAGAAAGTTTTCAACTATGAAAGAAAGGGTGGGGTAGCCCTTAATTAAATCCTTAAGCCATGGCATCCGATTCTTTTTTAATTTTAGCTTGTTTTGATCTACAGTTGTTGGGCAGACTGTAGATTACATCCATTACACAAGCAGACTTTTAACCACAAAGTTGGTTTTCTTTAGTTCCTCTCTGCCTCCACCTTCCCATATCTATGTCTCCATATCTGGCCTAGAGGGAAGGAGAGAAGAAAGCAATCTGCTGATACAGCCCTAAAATTATAAAGAAAAGTAAGAAGAGGAGAATCACAAAACTTCTTCTTCTTCTTCTTCTTCTTCTTCTTCTTCTTCTTCT